TGGTCAATTCGCTATTTCATTAGTGTTGGGTGTTGATGTAAGTTCAGGTAAGTTATTAAAATAAGATTAAACCGAAGAGCACCTGGTTATCCATCTTAGCCATTGTACCCATCAAGGATGCTGATGATTATTAAGTTTGATAACTATCAGTAAGGGCTACTGCAGCGCTTTGTGAAGAGGGAATACTTGCGAAGGTATGTAAATGACTAGGGTATGGTAACTTTACGTAAAGTAATTAAAAATTTTAGAACAATTCTGCTGAACATGTTTCTGACGTTGAAATCGAAAACATTTTAACATATCTTTCATTGTATCGCCATATTAATTCCCCCCCCCCCCCCCGAATTTCATATTTGAGTAACGGAAGGCTTTAGGAAGGTTTTGTTTTTTTGTTAGGGTCGTGTCATTTTACAGAAAAAAATGAAATCGATGGCAATAAATCTTGTCAGATATAAAATAGAAGATATATTTAAAGTCATTGCAGGAATTATTTAAAGAGCTGCCTGCATTTGTGTCAAATTTCTCAAAATAGGAAAAGTAAGAATTAAGTCATTCAATATTTGCTTAGATTTAACACATAGAATAAATGATGTGTTACACAATTATGATTTCCTTGTACGGAATATTAAATTATACGCTTTTTTTCTTTAATTTCATTTAAATGTTGGATGTAATCCACTTCGTCGACACGCTAAACCACAATGAATAAATGCACTTTGAAATTCTTATATTCTTTACTATAACGACATATGAATGCACAAAATTAATCATTTGAAGAATTATCTTTGCCAATGTTCATTCAAATACTATAATAAGCTATAAACGTTATGAAAGAATTAAGCAAGGAAAACAGAAAAAAAAAGTTTTTTCACAACATTGAGTATTTCTATTCATTAATTCATTTTCTCGACAAGCGCAAAAAACTAATAAAACCAAAATTCCGTATTAAAAATTAAATAATTTAAACACTATTTCCTCAAAAATTCCAGAAAGGGTCTAGCATGATTAATTTCACAATAAAATGAAGGCGTTTTTTTGTTGCGAAGCTTAGTCTCTAGATTTCAACAAATATACAATTCTGCTGTTTCAAATTAAACAAATATGTCCGCCAGTTCTTTAAAACTTAACCGCACTTAACGCTTTTATTGTTGATAATGTACAAAATTACTTCCAGAATTACAAGGCCATAAAAACTACCGGAAGATAGGAAGAACAAATTTAATCATTTTTAAAGAAAAAATGCACAATTTACAAAAATATAAGAGTAAAGATCCTGAGATCACTGAGCCAGGTAACAAAGTTGATATACATATGTGTACGTATATATATATATATATATTTACATTTGGTGCGGCCGATTGCGAAGTGCACATCTACATGTTATAGTAGTGCCACACACACACAAAATTTCAACGTTCTGAGGCTACTCGTTTGAGTTACGCGAGATACGTACCGTACGCAGTACGTACATACGTTCTACAGACGTCACGAAAAATCTCTCAGAATTATTTTAAAGCAGTTTTATAATTTTTGGATGGAACGGGGTTCTTTTTATTCTGTCTTTATGCACAGATATCTGCAAAAACTTCTGTTATTTTTATAAATTGCAATTTTCCGATAGCGGTTTCTCATCTCTCATCTTCAAAATGGATATATTTTCGTTTAAATAAATTAATGTTGCCTGATGTGAACACCTTTTCGGCGGATGGATCACAATCAACTTTCCGTTTTACTTCGTACAAGGAAGTAAAAAGAGACTTTATGAAAGCGGTCTTATTAGTTGTTAATTGAGATTAATAGACTACTGGCAGATATGGCGAAGTATATGTTATCAGTGTAATTATAAACATTCCAAACGTATCAGATAGTAGAAGAAAATTATATTCGAAATTCTAATTTTGTGGCCATTATTACTTCAGTAGCCAAAAACATTTTGAACGCTGAAGCGTTAGTAAAACTGAAAATGCTGCGTTTGGCGAAAACAAAGCCCATTTGTCAAATTCTTCTATTTTAGTCTATTATAAAAATCCACGTGTTGAGAGAGTTTATGAAAAATAATTTTGCTTGAGTGGTCAATTAAATCTTATATTTTTCGAATAAACATACAAAAGTTAATAACGAGAGTATAAGGGAGAAAACATTTTCTTTTTTTTTCTCAGGTTCGATGGGCAACAATCAATATATTGTATGAGCTTTTTAGATTCGTCATGCACTGAATGGCTAAAATATTAGTGACTACCCCTAATAAAGCATAGTCTACCTGTAGCTTTGATAACGGCCAATATTCTTCTGGACATGGACTAAACAAGATACCGTTATCACTAATGAGGCCTGTACTCACATAATGATAACTCTAATTTCATTCAGACTAGCTGATGGTTATTTCAAGCTTTGTTTCACAAATGTTGAAAAGAATTCGGATAAGAGGATTGAGCTGGCTAAGAAAGCAACAGGAATTCAGCCATGATTTTATACAAATTGGAAATCAATCGTGTACGGTTACAAGCTGAGATCATCAAGGATCATCACAGCCATTAAGGAATATACGTCATCGGAAACGATATCGAGTTTAAGCTGTGTTGTTGAGAGCTTCTTCCAGCTTGAAGAGCTGTCATTAGGTAAGAAGAGTCCAAGAATCTGTTCTGTGTGCGCGATATTGTGACCTTAACATGCACATGACGGAACAGGAGACTAGATTCGTCGGGCCAGGCAAAATTTTTTCAATCATTAAGGTTTCAGTTTTGATGCTCACTAACCTTCAGCAACCAATTGTGATTTCTCCTTTATCTGTGATAGCATAGTCATTACTGATGGTCTCCTGTTAAAGTCCTGGTGAAAGCTTCTCCGTTACTGTTGTAACAGCTTTAAATATTATTAAATTTGTAGTTTTAAAGAATTATAATTTAAATAGATGAACATTAGGTATTGTTGAATGGGCAAATTTGTGTGATGAAACCAGGCTGCGTGCCCGTGCGACTCTCGCCGCAAAGATTTTGGTATAATTTGATTTTTAAAAGTTAGTCAGTCAAAAAAAGTCGTTAATTCGGGACACCCATAATTCGGAAAAGATTTATTAATCGGACCTCAAACTTCCTAAAGACCTTTTCTGCGCATTTTGCACCGCGTTTGGACCACATGCGCAGAGGCGTTCACGCGTGCGCGTAAGTAAGACCTTTACGAAACTGCGCTATGAGATGTGCGCAACGGGCAGAATACTGTTTTCGCTGTGACGGCATTTATGTATAATGACGTATAGCTCTCTAAATTATTATTATCTATTCAGTAATTGTTGATGATATGCATTATTTGCGTTTTTTGTTCCTTAATTTTCGAATTGCAACCGGGCTTATTATTTTTTGCAGACTGTAAGAGCAATTTTATAAAAGTAAGCTTAAACTTCGATTATATCAAATAGAATTTCCGAGTATAATATTGTTAATGATTGTACAGGAGTCTTTCTAGTTGAAAATGAAAGTATGTTTGAAAAATCCGAAAGCTGTTTTTAATCAATTTCAACGCTGGCTGGGCGGGGGAACGGCCGTGGCGGGCGCGTTAATGAATTGGGAGGTTCGATTTGTCAGGGCACTATCCTTATTTCAGCGCAGATTTTTTTGTTTTATTTATTTGGCTATAATTCACCCAATGTAGTATTTCATCTAGATATGCTCGTCTTGATATGATTTTAAAACAAGTTCGCGTCTTATAATTCGTTCCGATAGTAGAATTTAGTGAAGAAAAGTGACAGAGGGGCTTTATTGAAAAACCGAACAAAAAAAAAAAATTTTGATGACATATTGTCGTGTCTTGGACACAGCAAAGCAATATAGGAACTGAACGGCCAGAACTGTAACTGAAACAAGAAATACGTCTTGTTATAGAAATTAAGAGAACGTATTATAACATGAACGAAGCAAACTTAAACCAACTTACATGAAAGAATGTTTAAATAAGTAAACAAATAAATATTAAGGCTTTTTCTCTTTTGCAAATTTTGATACCCTTTAGGTGATCATAATTGTTCTTTTATTTCATAAATTACGGTTTCATATTTTTAATTTTAGAATTTCTGCATGCCATCTACGCGATTTAAACTGATGATCTATAATCCGGAATCGTCGAAAAAAGTCCCGACCGAGGTCCGGATATTTATATTATTGATAAAAAATATTAAAAAAAAACAAATAACGATTTGACTGGTATTTAGTTTTTTTCTTCGTGTTTGTGTATTGTCGCAATTTTGATTGCCTATATAAAGTTTTTTCTAGTTCCATTCATGGAGTAGTTTGCTTCATATTGCCAAAGAAGAAGTTATCACACTTGTGTATATCTGTTATGCATTTTCAGTATTGCGTTATGAGGCATGTCAGTTGGGAGTTGTTTGTATATAATCAGTTCTTGTGGGGTTTACATTATTTACTCCATTGGCAGAATGTTCCATGAATAAAATTGGGTTGTGTTTTGGGTCTCTAATATATTTTGCGCAATCAATTTGTGTTGAGACATTAGATATTTTGGAAAGCAGGAGAGAGAAGTGAAAAAAAAAAATGAGCAGCAACGCATTCGCCGGGAAATCAGAAAAACCACGTCATACGCGCGCCAAGCGTGCAAAACCACCCCGCAACCACGAAAGGCACGCTAGGAAGGCGGAGAGAAGAAAATGAAAAGAAGAAAAAGAAAAAGAAAGAAAAAGAAGAAAAAGAAGAAAAAGAAATACCTTATAATTGTATTAAATGCTCTAAATGTAGTATTTAATAATAATTTTCACTATTAAATTTGCTGCTGCAATGTGTCAACAAATTTTTATTCTTGTCTGTATTTTATTTATCAGACCGTCAAAGGGGCTGTGACGAGGTCGAACTCGTTCCCAAGGAAGAATGGAGAGCGAGGGCTAACATCCGGAGCTGGCCCATGGCCACACCCATCAATCAGGTCATCATAGCACCACGTAACAGTCCCCTGCAATCGAAAGCACCAAGAGTGCATGCGCCTAGTCAAACCCCCCCACCCCTTCAAGGGATTACCATATGGATTACCAAGGTAAGGCTACCCAACTGTGGAAATAATAAAATTGTTGTCGCAAAATCTGACAAGTTTCTTTCCTACTGTGTTTTTATTATTGTGCGAGATCCTTCAAGAAGCATCTTTTAATCATTAAGCCAGGCTTATGAGTACAAATACTACCCACTTTATTGAAATAAATAACAGCTCACAGAAAAGTAAATAGATTAAGGAAAAGAACAGAGAAAAGTCAAATTCTCTTTAATATGTGAGGGAGTATGAGAAAAGTTTCGCGATATCACTCACACACAGGTAAAAATTTTGGGAGAAATAATCACTTATGAAACGATTCGTCGCTTCGAAAACGTATTCCGGAAACTTCCAGAATTGTCGCCCCGAATCGAGTTGATGTGTGAAAAATGAAAAAAAAAAAAAAAATCGTTAGGTTTTCGTCCGACCCCATCGGCAACAAAAGTTGTATTAGACAATGAGAACGTTATTCTATTCTTTATTATCTCAGCTTCTAACTGAACTAATTTCACAATTTTTTTTTTTTTTTTTACTTTTTTTTTTTTTTTTTATTTTTTTAAACGACAATCACTTATGACTCACATTTGCAACAGCTTACAAACATGAAATAAACACTTACAAGCATAAAACATGATCACAAATACTTATATTATGCGGCTCTTACTCTATTTTTCTTAAGTGTTTTGGCGTGTGATAGTTATTGGTTTGCTTGCGTAACTGTAAATTGTTTTTAATTCCCGTGCAGTGCAGGGCGGGCGTGACGAAATTACTATGAGGGAAAGCTTAAGCCTGAAAAAATTATTTAAAAAAAGACAAGAAGAGCAACGCTGCATTCTAAACCATTTAATAAACAAATTTATATCTATATAATAGAAATTCCAAAATATTGCAAACCGGCAAAAAACAAACCGGCAACGATGCAAAAAAACAATAAATAAAATTGAATTAAATAAAATCTTATTATATGCGGCTCTTAAGTGTTGTTTGCTTACTTGCGTCAACTGTAACTAGCCACATGGGGTGGAAGTTTGCACACGGCAACAGGGTTGCCGTCTCAATTGGAGACGTAGACAAAACTTGGTCCGTTTTGCTATGACCATCAATTAGTCTTAGGGCCAACGCTAGCGTATATGTTGCTGCTTTCCCATATTGTGGGCCAATTTTTTTTACCCTAGCCTGCATTGGACACGGTCAACTCATTATGTTACTGTTCAAAGTTCGTGTGAAAAGAACGACCGTAAAATTAAAAATTAAGGATGGTCTCTGCAGGCGAAGGCTTAAAGGTTGGAAAAGATCTACACAAGAAATTTGTTTTTTGTGTAACCAAAGAGATCTTTGACATGGAATTAAGATTTTTTATTTTTTAAATAATCTTTTTATTGGAGCTAGCGGTGGCTCTCTTAAGAATTTACCGCCAGTGGTTTCCCTTCATTGACACTCTTACTTTTAAGCAATATTAATTAAGCAAGTCGGAAACCCTAGTGGGCATAAGCAAAGGGGCCGTCCTCGCCGCCTGCTGCCCTGGGTTAATTCAGTTTTTTTGAATTAGACGGACCACCTTGCACAAGGTATTTTAATTACAATTTATAATATCTAGAACAGCGATCATTTCGTATGACCGCCGGGCCTTCTAGTTTGAGCATATACAGAGATGCTAAAATTATTGCATAAAATGCACGTAATAAACAAACAAATGAATAAAACAATGCATAACACTCTAAAAATACATAAAAACCGAAATACAATCAAATGATCCCAAAATCTTTATATATATTTGCAACTATTTAATTATTCGAATCAGGTTCTTCAGATGCTAGCTGGGTATTCTAGCTTTGTGCATCACGAGAATACATATGAAGGAATGTGATATTCCTTACATTCTTCCTCCTACTTAAAGCACGTCTAGAGAATGGCAGGACACTTAGTCAACCAAATCCAGGTAGTTACCGCGTGCCTCATATTTTATTTCGGAGCCTTTGCAGAGATTATTTGGTTTCTCAAAACCAGGAAATATGCGTAGCAAGTATCCGATAGACCGGCACCTTCGGGACTTTAGGCTAAAGTTGTACAATGGCGCAAAACGATTTTTTTCCGCAATACTAAAAGCATTGAAGAAAGAAACAAAAACTGCCTATAATGATTTTGCAAACAAATTTAATGAGTCTAGATTATTAAAAATCTGAAAGGTTTCAGATTTTAAATAATTACCGTCCAAAAGGGGCCCGCCGCGTGTTTTGTTTTTATGTTTTTGTTGTGTAACCTTTTAATTGATTTAAAGATCATGGTTCTTTGCACTTAAACCACAAAATTTAGTCAATAGCAAAGTCACAAAATAATTTAAAATGAGCACATCTTTTAGAATTTCCGCTACACAGTTCCGCGCGCTGGAAATAAAGAAAAGGTCCACCCCGCGTAGATTATACCATTGCTACTTTCAAATAGTTGAGTTTGTACTAAAAAAATTCGTAAATTTTTATTAAAATCTTACCAAAATATGAATAGATAATACAACAATTCCAAATTATAATTTGGGCTTCCAATGCCCATATTCGCAGTTAGAATTAAGTCATTCAAAATTCGTTGTCTCTAGTTACCGTGTTTTATTCCAATTTGCAGAAATATACAATACATTTATGCAGATTATTCTCATTTACTTTCTTCAAATATAATGCAGAGGGACTCGAAAATTGTGGGCTTTGGCCAACAGTTTAAAAAGTGAAACGGACGTTTTAAAGTGATACAACGCAAAATCGCAAAACGAAAACAAAAGTCCTTCAGAGACAAAGCCACTTTGGACTAGTAAATAAATTTGTTCATAGCTAGTTAAATTTCATTTAATCAGTTTTTGTATTGAAATCATCATTATTGCTATTGCATGAAGTCTTTCGAAATAAAACTGTTCATTTGCTTCTTAGGTTCCAGCCCCGAGAAGGTCAAATATTTGAAAATTATTTTAATAGCTGGTACAAAGCAGTTCATAGTAGCCAGCTTCTTGTGCATTGTTAAAGAGAGGCTTCTTGTGCATTTCCATTTCATTTCTTTATCAACATTTTAACAAGAGATATAAAGAAGGGAAATAAAAACAAAGGACTAACTGAAAATGACATGAAGCCTTTTTGAAAACTTCTTGAAATTTAACGAATATAATATTTTACTTTAGGTTATGGTGACATAGCTTATAACTTCCTCATAGGAAGTGACGGACGTGTATATGAAGGTAGAGGATGGACGGTAAGAGGGACTCACACTCTCAATTTCAACACCAATTCTGTAGGTATTGCCTTCATAGGTAATTTCAACGAGATCCAACCTAATAAGAAGATGATCAGTGCAGTTCTGAATCTCATCAATTGCGGGGTCAGAAAGGTAAAGCTTTCCATTTTCCACTTGAAGTGATTTGACACTTTGTACACCAAATTCTGTTTCCCATTAAAAAACTGAAAAGAAAAAGAAAAAATAGCAACGGATGTTCAAACAATAAACAGGAATTTATCACTAAAATTTTACTTTTTAGAGACAATGGAACTATTTACATACTACTTTTTAATGCAATCACCTATCGTTTGTTCCCATATTCCAATCCTCGCGAAATTTCTTAATTCTAGATGATTAAACGTCTTTTAATTGCATCTTGGCCCATCCTTGTTTGATTGCATATTGACCCAAACGTGAATTAAGTGCTTATTAGACTTGAATTTCTCCCCCCCCTCCCTCTGAAATTTCCTTAAGTGGACCGAAAAGATGAAATTTCGAGGGTGTGAAATCTAGTCTATATGGAGAGATGAGGTAAAACATCCCCACGTTGCGTGGTACGTTATGTGAGGTAAAACATCCATCGTTAACAATCCACGTTACGTGGGGTAGGAAATCCTCGTTGTGTTACGTGACTTCAATCAACATACTTTTTTTATGTTCAGTTATTAAAAGATGGGAAACAGAACTTGTGTTCATCTTGCTAAACTTAAGACTATCTGTAGTTAATGTTTTCATGCTTCCACTTAGCTTTTTGGTGATCTCTTTGGCAGTGATTCTCCGATTTATCCGAATTAAAGAACTAAGGGTAATCAGTCTATCTTCATTGGTTGATATTCTCGAATAACAAACCTGCGATCATTTTAAACTTGATTTGGATCACCGTCAAACTGACTTTTAAGCGTCGAATATATGAGATAATGGCACTTAGAGCTTAATTAAAAAATAATTATGAATTTATAGCAATCATCGATAGTATGATTTCGTACATAGCATTTAGAATTTAGAAAGAGATTTTGAAATTTGGTATTTAAAAGAGCACAAATTTTGTTTAGAATTGGTTCGAATCTCCGCAAAGACACTGTACATTCACAAAAGGCATGGATGTTTGTGAATGTACAGTGTCTTTGCGGCACGAAAGCACTTTTAATATTGTCGAAATGAAAGTTCTTTTAGAATCAGCTTTGCGCAAAGTTCTGTATCAAAATTAGGATAGAACTGAAAAAAACTAATATTGTCAGGTCTTGGCCGACAATATGAAATAGTCTCTTCCGTCTTAGTTAAAGTAATATTCATGAATCTGATACGGAATCTGATTCATGATCTGAAGGAATTAGGAACAACAGTAACAGTAGTTTTAGTTTGCAAACAAGAGTGGGTTTTGATTTTTGCTTGAATTTACATTCTACCAAAAGCATGACGAATAATAAAATATATTAGTAAAAAAATTAATAAAATATATTAACTTCATATAAAATTTGAGGGATTATTTTGGGCAATAATAATAATGTCAGGATAAAGAGGTAAACTTGACAGTAGCCCTTAGGTCCATTAGGTTAAGAGTTACATACAGGCTTGAAGTTGCTACTAGGTTGGGATAAGATCCTAAAACATCATTTCATGAACTGATTTCCCCATATTTTTCTTTCTGCAGGTGGAGCTAAATACAGATGACTGAACATAATTTTATAAAGAAAAAGTACTCTTTAAAATACACCAAACTTCTTTGATATTAAGGGAAAATAGAGTTAAATTTTGCTATTTAATAAAGTATTGTTTCGTATAATTTTATAAATATCTCTTGCCTTTAATACCTTTCATGAAGCTGATTATAACTCTTATAGTAGATTGATTTAAAAACAAGAAAAAATTGAAATAAAAAAAAAAAACAAAAAAAAAAAAAAAAAAAAAAAAAAAAAAAAAAAAAAAAAAAAAAAAAAAAAAAAAAAACAAAAAAAAAAAAAAAAAAAAAAACAAAAAAAAAAAAAAAAAAAAAAAAAAAAAAAAAAAAAAAAAAAAAAAAAAAAAAAAAAAAAAAAAAAAAAAAAAAAAAAAAAAAAAAAAAAAAAAAAAAAACAAAAAAAAAAAAAAAAAAAAAAAAAAAAAAAAAAAAAAAAAAAAAAAAAAAAAAAAAAAAAAAAAAAAAAAAAAACACAAAAAAAAAAAAAAAAAAAAAAAAAAAAAAAAAAAAAAAAAAAAAAAAAAAAAAAAAAAAATGAAACTGAGGACTTGTATAAAAGGAAAATTGATAATTGGTACTTTTCCGTTAAGCCGGCGCAAATTTCGCCAAGTAAACTTTATTGGTACACAGTATACACATAAAAAGTGTTGACAAATGTTAGTTCGAAGAATTTTTTATTTTGAAGGTATAAACATTTTAATGTCGTTTAAAATTTTGTAAAAAAGCCAATAAATAGTAAAAAGACATTAATTTGACTATGCTTTCATTGTACAACATTCGCCGGTTCATATTACGTGACTCCAAATGATCTCATCTCATGTAAACTACGCTACAAAAATCTAATTCTGTCAGTAATTATCTACATTAATCTCAAGTTAAATCTTAATTTGGAATGCAAGTTTAAATGCAAGAATGATTTCAATTCGTACGAATAGCTTATTCAGAAATTAAAACCGCAGTGCTTTACTTCGCTAGTGCATTCTCATTAGAATGGATGAATTTAACCCTTTGCCTTTTCTATATTTTCGCCATGGGTGAGCGGTGTTTGATTGCATCCTAATTGACTTAATTACCGCCCGCGAATGGCCTAGGGATAAAATAAAAATGAACTATCTGATAAAAATTCTATGGAATTGTATGCCAGTATTGAAAGAAACACTCAATCTGATAAGAAATGGCTGCGACTTGTTTTGAAAATATATAAGTTAAAGGTTACCAGCGAAGATATTTCGTTTGGCATCGGTTGTACCATTACTGGCGACTTTATCGCTTGCGCCGGCAAAACGGAAAAGTGCCGGATAATTTTATATTTGAAGGAATTTCATATTTTCAGAATTTCAGTAAAATTTTGCATTTTAGTTAAATATTTTAAACTATTTCTACCAAAAAACTTCCTAATTCATATAATAATTAAAACTTGTTATGCTATTGATAATTAGTAACAAAAATCTTCTTGATGTAATGTATTTTAAATTTTCTTACAAATTTTCAATCCGAAGTAATGTATTATCACCTTTATTTATTTATTATTTTTTGCATACCAATAATAATGTGTTTTGAATTTCTTTTAGGGGTATTTGACGCCTATAAGAGAGATATATGGCCACAGGGACGTTGGTTGCACTGAGTCACCAGGGAAAAATTTATACCGAGAGATACGAAAATGGCCAAACTACAAAGGAGGTCGGATGCCGTATTACACATGTTAAATTTTACGTGATATGAATATTTTCACAAACGTATAGATGGAGACATTAAAAAAAATTCGTTGAAAAATGTGTTACGTTTGCAAAACTGACTGTAAAAGTTTGCCATATCTGCGATCTGTTCGAAATAATGTATCTTATTGTTAGTTTTAGGCTTGACAGTTTGTTGTCCATCACATTAGATCAGCGTTTTTCAACCAGTCTTCCTGGGAATGTCTGTGTTCTGCAAGAAATCGCTGAGGAATCACAGCATTTCATGCAAAAATATTAACATTCCGCGATCAAAGATTAGAGAATCACAGTGCTCCAAGAGAGAACGCTAAGATTCCACGAGAAATCGCTGTCAACCATGGTTCTCAGCGAAAACTCTCTACGAGACATTGTGTTTTTCAAGAAATCGTGAGTTTTCTCCAATAAATAGTGACGAATAGGTTGATCTTTCGTAATTATGTAGCTAGTCGAACGATTGTAATATTTGTGTAAAGAATTCCTTGATATATGAATATTAATTTCAGGGCTCTGGAAATATAAACAGTTTGAAAAACGCTGAATCTTTGTGTACAAAATAAAGCATGTACCATTTTGGCTAATCTTTGGAATATGGTAACTGGTAGTTTGGCGACATTTTGGTAAGGCGATAAAGGTTACTAGCTAGGACTTTAGCAATAATCTGAGAAGTACACAGTTCGAATCAGATTATTTTGTCTCAGAGAAATGACAGATCATGAGACATGTAATGTGACATTTTCCGGAAAATTCCAATCGGGATTTTAGCTAATAAGCAATGAGAAACAATTTCTCTGCTAAAGTGCAGAATCGCCCACTTATTTGTTTGGCGCTTTTTATAAGAGTAAGAAGAATTGGATTTTTGTCAATTTTCTTTGACTTTTTAAGTGAAAATAGGTCGATGTGCATATGAATAAAGTCAAGAGTGTGCGCAATGCCATTTTTGTGCAATTATGAGATGTTTTTTTAAGTGAAAATAGGTCGACGTGTACATGGATACCGTGTATATGTAATTCTTAAAAACGCGGCAAGCAGTGGGCGATTCTACACTTTCTTCCAATTTCGCACCTAATCTTCGTCATGGTTTAAGCACTTTGTTCCATAAAGTTTTAGCATAAGTGTAATCGGCTAGCAGATGTTGGAAAAAATGTTGAGTACAAAAAAAAAAAAAAAAAAAAAAAAAAAAAAAATAATAAATAAAAAAAAAAAAAAAAAAAAAAAAAAAAAAAAAAAAAAGAAAAAAAAAAAAAAAAAAAAAACAAAAAAAAAAAAAAAAAAAAAAAAAAAAAAAAAAAAAAAAAAAAAAAAAAAAAAAAAAAAAAAAAAAAAAAAAAAAGAAATAATAAATAAATAAATAAATAAATAAATAAATAAAAAAAAAAATCTGAACGTTTTCATATATTATATTACAGCCAAAGGGACTTTTTTTAATGTTGTGTGTGTTACCTTTATTTATTAAATATCATGTTCCTCGCACTTAAACCATAAGATCCAGTGCAACAGCAATATCGCAAAATAGTTTTAAAACGAGCATATCTTTAGAATTTCCGATACAGAGACTCACGCGCTGGAGATAAAAATGTTTTTCTGCACAACGTTGCCATTGCTCGCTTTGAAATCCTTGAGTTTGTTAATCAAAAATTCGTCCAAGTTTTAAAAAATAGGAAATCGATCATAAAACAAATTTCAAATTTCAAATTTGGTCTTCCACATGCTCATTTCGTTGGAGGATTACGTTATTCAAAATTCGATGACCTGTCTTGTTTTATCACAATACGAGAAATTATACATACATTTATGCAGATTTTTTCATTATTTAATTTCTTCAAAATAATGCAGGACTCTAACATTTTGTGGCAACAGTTTGAAAAGTGAACCGACATTTATGAGTCCGACGCAAAATGCCAAAACGAAACTAATAGTCCTTCGGGATTCAAATCCCTTTGGACTAAAAAAAAAAAAAAAAAAAAAAAAAAAAAAAAAAAAAAAAAACTAGTAGGTTGCTGTAGCAGGGTTGGTCGCCAAAGTTTCCCCCAAAAATCGCCAAGTTACCATAATCCAAAGATTCACCATCATTTTATCGTATACAAATATATGATGGATTAATTAAGCGCTGGCCTTATTAAGACAATCAGAGGTCCTAAGCTTACTATTCTTTGAAAGGTCATAGTTTTATTTTTATAAAAGAAACTTAATGTTATAAAAATTGATTAGGATGACCTAAGAACTTTTCAGATCTGGAGCTTCATGCCCGGGCTTTGTAAAACTATGTAGTAATAAGACTGTCAGAAACTGCAGATAGGCTATAGTTTAGTTGATTTGATGAATACCAGGAGATAAAATCTACCACATAAATGTTCTACCTCAGAAACATTCTTTCATGCACGCGCTATAAAAGGAACATCTGTAAACATATTTGATTTGCTAGTTCAATAAAGAATATATTCCTGTATTTCTTGTTTTGTTTCAAATACTTTCAAACTAGCTTTTTATTACCCAATACTAATTTTTAGGATGTAGTTTTGATTCTATGTTTTTAACTTCTCTAGTGCAAAATGATTTAATACGAGCCTTTACCATCTAATGATTATCCAAACTAAGAAAGGTCTTTCAACCTTGAAATCTCAATTTCTCTCTCTTCTCTGTATATATACGTGTGTGTGTTGTGTGTAAATCTAGTTGTAAAAAAATACATACATAGTAAGAGAATTGGCTTAGAATATTCAATCGAAAGTTCGAAATAAATTGCTAAATATGGTACTTGTGATCGCCAATAGCGAATTTTCTGACATAGTATTTGATCACCAGTAGAGAACTTTATGACGAAAGTTTGAAAATTCACGAAAGCTCCAAAACAGTGCAGTATCACCAAATATAGTTAGACTTATATATTTTAAATTTCTCATTCACGTTAATTTAGAAATCATTCTTTTATTAAATTATGTACTTCTAAAAGAACGAAAGCGTCCGTAACTATTTGTGTTTCTTTATTTTCGATAACTTCAGTTGTTTTTATCGAAAACTCTTCTTTACTTTTTCAGTAAAACTGTAATCAACACTCAGGTGAACTTTAAGCTGATATGGGATAAAGAATAGAATAGATTTCAAGCCTTCCAAAAGAAAGCTTTCGACTTAACGATAAGAGCTAAATTCCTGCGGATAGAATAAAATAAACAAACAAAGCGTTTTTTGTTGCCAAAAGCAAATTTCCTGCAGAAATTTGCCCAGCTTTGGGAATTCTTTCGTCCAATAGCTTTGGATCTGGGAAATATTCCGACCAAGTCTCGTCTTGAGATTATTAGAATCTGTCCTTTGAATAAAAGTTTTTATAATCAAATCATAAAGTATTAATCACTTTAAATCTAAAATATGAAACCATGTGCGCTTTATTTATGTTACGTTATATTTACCAACTTTTTATTAAATGCATACCACTGTTAATATTTTCTAAATATTTCTTTTTCTTTTCTATTTGCAAGGTGCAACACACATTTCACGTTTTTTACTTGCAGTCAAGTTGATTGCTAAATTAAAAAAATTAAGACGACATTGAATTAGAATTTTAATACTAAACCATGTCTTTATTTAATAATATAAATACATATAATGTTGTTTGGATATAGTTTAAAATTATACAGCTAGCCATATGGAATCAACATACTTTACACAATGAGGTATTTAACTGAAAAATCTGATTTTCGAAATATAGAAATCCATACACATGACGAGTTAATAGAAAAATCCTCCCTTCGTCATTCCTGAAAATTAATTAGGTAATATAGCTGATAGTGAATTTACATATGTTTCGCAAATAATGAATCTGAGGGAAGGAAACCAAAGTCTTAACTATATATTACCAGATTATAAGAAAAAAAAAACGTAGAATTCACCGATGTTTCTTTAAATAATGGATCTGGTAGAATGAAGCCAAAGGCTTTAATCACGTATTAAAAAATTATGAAGAGAAAAGGATTAGACCTCTGGAGTAGTATAAGACAGACGAAGAAAGCAAAACAAAATATAACTTACAGTTATGTCCAAAATAAATTTAGGCAGTTGAAAAATTTGCAGCATTTTTATTATTGGGGAAAAGAGCTCTAAAAGAGGTCAGAAAGCATTTGCCTTAAAATTTTTTTTCAATGTATATCCATATTATCTGTGAGTTAAAACACGAATCTTTTTTCCCAGGAAACCTATTCGCTACGATTGAAACTACTTCGAGCTACCTGCTTTAATTGGTTTGGCTTATTTGATTGCAGCAAAACACGCTAGGGTTATTTACCTAGGAGAATGAATATGTTTGTTTAGGACTTCCTAAGAAAAGTTGGCTACGTCGATGACACGGTTCTAGACGTCAAATCTATGAATCCAAATCATGCACTTACCAAAATACAGAAGAAAATCCCTGATATTGAGAAATGTGGAGCAGGTGGAAGACCTTGCATCCAACCAGAGAAATCAAAGATTCTGCTAATAAGGAAGCACAGGAAAAGAGAACTAATTAACTCTAAAGTCAAATTATTTGGTACTCAACCTTCCAGGGTTGACAAAACAATTTATTTAGGGGTTACCCTCAATAAAAAATTTCACATGGGCCGATCACGTACACAGAATCAGTGGCAAAGCTTTTGGATTAGAATTTCGGCTATTTCCTCTGTTGAAAAGCAAACGTCTATCACTCAACCTTAAAAAGAAGCTTTATATCTCGGTCATTCAACCGATTGTCAAGTATGCTCCCCCAGCCTGGGCAACAGCTAGTGAAGTTAAGAAACTGCAAGTACTACTTCAAAACAAGATGTTTCATCGATGCACTGTACTTACGTAAGAAATAAGATTCTCCACTTTCACTTGAATGTGGAAACCATTCCGGACTTCAATTCCAGAATGAAAGAAAGTTTCTTCAATGAATCCATCTGCAATAACCCTGCCAATTTTGCAGACATCTTAGTATACGAAATTCTAGCACGAAATAAGAGATACCGCCCTTTAGCCGCCCATCTCCTAAAATAAGATCACGGAACAATCAGGAGTAACTCCCTCTTCGAACACGCCAGCCTAGCAACTAACTTCTTGAAGCAAGGTGATTCACTTTCTTTTTCTTTCAGATGTACCTCTGCGGGAGAAAATCACTCTACGGAATCACAACTGCCATGCCCAACTTGGGATACATCAAGGAACTGGCGAAAGCAGGCCTGCTGAAAACATCGCCTGCTGAAAACCAGTATATCTCCCAAAGTTTCAAAGATACTTTGGTGTTTTTCTTGGTATTCAGCAGGATAATTCGTTCCTGCTCTTGGCAGTATCGTCAGAGAATCCTGACTGGGCCTGACATATGATGAAGCCCGAAGATGAGAGTTCTCCATACGAGGTAGAATGCAAGAGATGGTTTTATTGAAAAGTTGTCTTATATATATATATATATACTTGGAGAAAACCACAAAAGCTCCCACGCAGCTAACCCGTTGCCTGGCATTAAACCCACCTCGAACTACCAGCGTTTACGACTTTATTGTTCTATTGTCGGTGGGCCTTCGAACTATGTATTATCAACGGTTTTACCGATCGGCCAATAGTAAAGTTTTGAAATTTATAATTCGATTTATTCCTCTAATTGTATCTGTATTTTATTTGAAAAGGGAGTGTTGGTGCGAGAGACTTTAGAATAATTTCACTTGTCTGTTCTTTCTAAACTTCCCCGTGAAATGTAATATGTCTTCTGTACAAAGAATCAGCGGATCAGTGGGTGAGGATAAACACTCTAAATTGCTTTTTAGTATATTTAGTTCCTGTAAACCTCCAGTGTGTTTTTCCAGCCTTGATTCTTTGACTTATTGTGTTATTTTCAGTATATGTTAGATGGCAAATGTATGAGTTTCTGTTATAAACACAACGGCTTTATGGTTGGATTACTTCTTCTAAAGATTAATTATGAGTCAAGATCAATACTGTTTGCATAGATGCTGTTTCCACCGCACCTGCAATGAATCTCAAGCTTTCAAACTGGGTTACTTTCAGCTGCGACTTTATCACTGCAGGTCATTCAAGACTCCAAAAGCAGGAATTCAAAATTTTTCTATTACAGCGTAATTCGGACAATATTTTTAAGATTCCAGTTTCAGCACATCATCAACCTGCATATACCACGTTATTTTTTTAACAACACCAAGGTATTTGGCATTCGTATATTTATCTGTTCTAGACTATGTATTATATACTACAGGCATATCAATTAGTTGTCTTTTCAAAGAAAGAAGTCTGAGAGATAGATAGTCTGATAGATTTCTTTGTATTTACCTCCATTTCGTTTTATCATATCAATCAAAAAACTGTTTAAGTGCTATGTTTAACTTATCTACACTATATGACGCTCATCAGGGAGATTCTATGTCCAAATTATTAAATAATTTGAATAGATGATGCATCCTATGCTCTTGGTATTCTCTGTGGACTTCGCTAAGTCATTAATGTAGACGTTATATTAAGTACTATTTGTAATTCTAAATGAAACGGTTGAAATTTTAAGTACAGTTTCTGTACTTTACAGCAAAATATCACTTCTAAACTAATAAATCTGAAGGGTACTTACGTATTATCGCAACCAGGTTGGCGCTATTTGTAAGTTTGAGTAAAAAAGTATGAATAGAAAGAAAATGTACATTTATTAATTACAGATAATTTTTAATACAGTTTTTTTATATTATTTTGTTTTTTAAAATATAAAAATAGCAATTAAAACCCTTCCGGTTTCGAATTTGAATAAGTTGCAGAATTATTTTTCGGCGGAAATCTTTTGGCTATTGCTTTTAGCACTGACTGAAAACCGTATTCGCCCATAACATGTACACGTCGACTTATTTTTACTTAAAAAAAAAATCCCAGAATTGCACAAAAATGGCATTGCGCACACTCTTGACTTTATCCATGTACACTGCTATTTTCTCATAAATTACAAAAATTTGCACGAAAATGCAGGAAAATTTTTTGAATCTCCACATGCTCTTTTTACAAAACTACGTATAACACGTAGGGTTGCCGTAAGTAGGGTCGCCAAATTTCGCAATTTATGCGAATTTTGGCCTGGTTGCGTTAATACGTAAGTACCGTCTGAAGCTCTACTGCAGACTATTATTATTATTTTGATTGGCGTAACGATAGGTTGTCTCTGTAAGAAATTCCCTGAAAATTGGGGTAGAACTGCACAGTTAGTGAAAAGGAAATATACCTGCATGACCAATGGTGAAATTCTGGTGTTCCACCTCCTCCTACCTAAACCAATACCTTTATTTTGAAATTTCAACTTCTTTGTTTTGAATACCCGTAAACGGTGGAGTTTATTTCTACGCACAAACTGCGCTTTCTGTTCAGTTTAGGATTTAATGAAAATATTACTTAAAACCGTTCTTACTTAAACGTTCCTATCTGGTATAGTGGCTAATGACGTTGACTGTCGTGCCGATGTACTCGGGTTCCAATTTCGGAAAAGGCAAGGACGTTTTCAAGCATAGCATCTGTGTGGCAAGGGGGACTCAAAATACAAGCTGGGCCGAACGTCCTCTCGAGAGGTTGGTGGTAAGGGAAGGGTTGGGAAAACATCAGACTCCCTCCACCAGGGTCGCTCAAAATGAGGGCGAAACGGTGCAGTTAGCCCGGCGGGATTATACCAATACGACCAAAGGTGAACTTCTGGGGTTCCGTGTTGTCAGTAAATGAACCAATCGGTAGGAATACACCCCAACTGGTATTTATAATTTAATTTTTACTGAAAGAGCTAAAATACCTTGCTCAAATGGGCTTTTAAAGCAAAGAAATGGTGTTCTTACAAAAACCAGTAAAATGAATAATGTATTCACAACTTTAATGCATTCGACAGAGTGCAGCCGTTTCATAAGCTAAAAATATATTTCATAATGCAACAATCGGACGTAAGAATTGAAAAGGATCCCAGATGATGTTTTAAAATGAATTAAATATCCAAGAATATATACTAGTTGACATTGCAGGGTCTTTTACGGCACGCTTTCATGGTTCAAAAGTAAGGATCCTCTCATAGGCTATAAAAATTCAAATGCGGCAAGAGAATAGGCAGTTTTTCACAACCTTGACCATCTCTTCATAAAGTAACCGGTCATGTCGGATACAACACCTTTGTTTTAGAAGGGACGAGGATTACCCAGAAGGTAAGGCGATACTTTTAATATTAAATTTCTCCGAAGAACACACGAATTGTTTTATTCAATTCTGTGATTTTAAATAGTTTAGCTTGGTTATATATTTTCTTATTAAATTTTTAATAGGCTCTTGTACTTAATTTTTGGAATCGCTTTTTAGACTTCACTAAATTGAGCTGAGCTGACTAGCGAGAATAGTCTCAGAATGAAAATGAAATTTTTTCACACGACTAGCTACACATCTTTTAAACTGAAAGCTGTGAGAAAAATTCAAAAGACTTATTTGCTTCATCAGCATAACAATCCGAACAAACTTCATTTGACAAAAACTGATAAAAGCAACTTAAACTTGATAAAACTCTTAGACCAAGTGCAGATATATATATATATATAAACAAACAGTTTATAAGATATTTCTCCCGCCTTCCTCGCCGTGCCTTCGTGGTGTAATGGCCAGCACACAGGGCCGGTATTCCAGAGGTCCATGATTCGATTCCCGGCGAAGGCGATTGCTCAGTTTTTCATCTCTCTGGCTTTTCCAATTAAACTAATGTCTCTACAATGGCGCCCGAACTAAAAGGGTGTTGTATTATGATTCTCCTCACCCAGGATTTGGCGATTGGGTCTCCTAAAAACCCTAGTCGCCCTTTAAAAGGGGGAGTATATTAGGTATTTCTCCCGCCTTTCTAGCGCGCCTTCGTGGTGTAGTGGTTCTGCACGCTGGGCCGGTATTCCAGAGGTCCGTGGTTCGATTCCCGGCAAAGGCATTGCTAATTTTTCATCTTCCCTGCTTCCAAAAAATCTTAATGTCTCTACAAGTTTAATTAATGTCTCTACAAGTAATAATGTCTTAATGTCTCTACAAGTAAATATTGAAATTACGTGTGTACTGTAGAATAACAATCATTCTAATATGTGAAAAGTATTGAACGTAATCAGGAAATCTCAGTTTTTATTTGCGTATTTATATTAAAAAAAATCCTAAAGCTTTCAGATATTACATTACGCCCGAAGGCGTTTAACTTTTTTACATTAACTTTTTAACATTTACTTTTTTTAACGTTTAGTGTGTTACCTTTATTTGTTAAATATAATGTTCTTCGCACTTAAACCACAAAATTCAATTCCACAGCAATATCGCAAAATAATTTTAAAATGAGCATATCTTTAGAATTTCCGATACATAGTCTCGTGAGCTGGGGATAAAAAAGTTTTTTTTTTTTTTTTTTTTTTTTTTTTTTTTTCGTACAGTGTTGCCATTGCTCGCTTTGAAATCGTTGAATTTCTTAATAAAAATTTCGTTAAAGTTTTACACAATATGTAAAAGATACTAAAACAAATTCTAAATTCGGTCTTCCAGATGCCCATATTCGGGTGGAAACGTACGTTATTCAAAATTTGATGGCTTTAGGTACCGTTGTTTTATCACAATGAGAGAAACATACATACATTTATGCAGATTCTTCATTGGGCTCTAATATTTGGTGGCAGCAGTTCGAAAAATGAACCGAGATTTAAAGTTTTCAACGCAAAATGCCAAAACGAAATTAACAGCCATTCTGGGCTCACGTCCTGTGGGTTAAAATTTGGTGCATGCAATGAGGTGGTGCTTGCAAAAGTGTAAAAAAATGTATTCAAATATGCAACTGAAATGCAACAAATGTACAGATACAAACAAAAGGCAAAAAATACAAATACACAAATGAGCAAAAATGATGCAAACAAATGGTTCTGCGGAGAATTACGTTGCATAGCTCCACTTGAAAGTTAATATAATGTTTTCTTTGCGTTTAATAATATTAATTCTTTCCGCAAATACTGCCTGAGAACATTAATGTAAACAGTGCAATAAAAACACTTTAAAATAGTTATCATTTATTTTTTTAAAACGGCTTAAGATACAGAATAAAAATGTTGAATAGAGCAAAATGTCTCTAACTGATAATAAAGCTTTATTATAATCTATTTGTTTCAAAACAGATCCTCAATGATCAAGATCCTCAATGTTTTTCAAGAGTATATTTTCCGAAAATATCATTAACTCAAATTTTTTATTATTCATATCCTCCTTTCTTTATTCAATTTTGGCAAGTCCGATGTAGTTAAATATTTTCGGATCCAAGCAAAAAAAGTTGAATTTTGCTTTATTCTAAACAAGCTTGCATTTAAGAAATAAATGAAAATTTTTCTATGAAATGCATTTTTGAATATTTGAAGACACAAAAATGTTAACTGCTGATGACAGTTATAAATCAGTTATAACGAAAGGATCTAGATAACTACGAGACTGGAAATTACATTTTATTAGGTTTCCTGAAAAGAAGCTATTCAGAAGTGACCAACCAGATCACTCCCACATGTTTAGATACAGATAGCTCTCTCGTGTTTTTCCATAAATTTAATTCGATGGCGGATCTGATTGGTTTCATAATTTTTTATGTACTTTTCCTCATAATTTTTTATGTACTTTCCTAAACTTTGACGCACTTAATTTTCTTCCCTTTCAATAAATATTAGGCATACCAAAACACGGTAGCTTATGGTAACTTTGATATATTCTTCTTCTTCAGTTGGAATTTTTAGAAGAAATAATATGTTGACGTGTTTGAATTTATATGCCGTTAAAAGTTTTTATCAAATGCTAAATGTTTGCTGTTTGTCTATCCAAAGAGCATTCGTTGTTAACTTTGATAGCTCAATAATCTTCTAAATTAATAATAGATTTTATTAGAACTTACATTTTAAATTTTCGAATATTTAAAATTAAGCTATATGATACATTTTAATTAGAAAAATACAGAAAAATGTCTCTCTTCAAACAACTATAAGAGGAACAAAAACTTTAAATTGTTTTTGACTGCTGGTCACTTCATCTTTCCGAGAATTCTTTAAGAAATACTCTATCCGTGCTTTTTCTCAAGACTTCGTGGTGGTCGATAAAATAGCTGAAGACGTTACACTACTTTAGCTTTTGTTACCTTACCTTGTAAGAGACATTAGGTATTTTTTGAAAGCAGGAGAGATGAAAAGTGAGCAATTCTCTAGCCGTGACTCCAGCCAGCGACCTCTCGAATACGCGCCGAGCGTGCTGACCACTACACCACGAAGGCATGCTAAGAAGGAGGGAGAAATACCTTATCTACTCCCCCTTTTAAAGGGTGACTGGGGATTAGGGGACCCAGTCGCCAAATTCTGGTGGTGGAATATCATCATACACCACCTTGTTTAGTTCGGGCGCCATGTAGAAACATTAGGTATTTTTTGAAAGCAGGAGAGATGAAAAGTGAGCAATGCCCTCGCCGGGACTCCAACCACCGACCTCTCGAATACGCGCCGAGTGTGCTGACCACTACACCACGAAGGCCTGTTAAGAAGGCGGGAGAAATACCTTATAACCTTTCTTTTTTACCAAAGCTTACACTTTCCCTTTTGCTATATCTTCACTTTTGCAGACGCTTAATAAAATAAATCACTAAATTGCAAGAGAAACGCTCCAATTTAAAATTATATAAAACAGCAACCTTGTGTTGGTCAGCTTTGAACGAAACTCTATCGATTGCAATGTCGGTTATCATATTTATATCAAAAGCGATGGTTTTAGCAAAGTGAACATGTACTTAGCGCCATCAGTAGAGAAAAACAGTTATGAAATATGAAAAATCTAAGCTACTAGTTCTAAAAGTGTTAGGAAGGACTGAATTGGCATTAATGTTAACTAAAGGAGATGAATTTTTATGAATGTTAAAAACTTCAAGGAAATCAAATTCGCAGATTAAAGAAACGTTATGGATAATTTTCATAGAACCAAAGTCAAAATTGTAATTATGTTTCCAACTACGATTGACTATCAAAGATTTGTTTATTTCAGCTTTTCGGACATCAGCTTCGTGTACCTTGACGCGAAATTTCAACGCTCTTTGAGTTCGACCAGTGAATAAGAAATGTTATAAATTTACTTTAAATCCTAGGGAATTTCTAACATATCTATTTGTTAGAAATTTAATTTCTATATATCTAGTTTGCTCGCATCCGAAATGGAGAAATAAAAATAATTTTCCATAGGCAGTCGTAGTTGGAAACATAATCACTATTTTGATTTTGGTTCTGTAGAAATTATCCATAAAGCTCCTGCAGTTGCTGTCTTGGATTTCTTTGAAGCTTTTAACATCACAAAAAATTATCTTATTTAATTAATGATATTAATTTTAAACTAGTCCTTCCTAATGCCTTTAGGATTCTGATGTTTTAGGTTTTCAGATTTCATTACTGTTCTACTGGACAGATGGCGCTAAGTTCGTGTCCACTTTGTTCCGCCTATAGCTTTCAATATAAATGCGGTCATCCCTCTTCCAATTTTGCAAACTTTATTTGCTCCTGAAGAAAAAGTATTGCGTTTGTTTGCCTTCGAAATCCTGCGAGTTTTATGCAAAATGTATGCCAAAATATGTTTACTGTTTTGTTTAATTTTTAATAAAATCATGCCAACAGCATGTGAACAGTCGAATCCGCTGTAACGAACGAGCATTTTGGTCTCTTCCAGTTTCCTATATAAATATTATTTCAAGCTGTTACAGCGAACTTCTAAAAGTATAAAAATCGGATATGAACCTGGATGGATGTCTTCGATAGAATTTTTCTTTTTGTATTCTTTATATTTTTCTAAAACTTTATGCAACTGTTAACGAAAGGATTGCTAGACTTTAAAATTTTCTACGCTAAGGATACTAGGACCTACATTCCCCATTTATCCCCTTAACGTTACTTTTCTTTTAGCTTCATCCCCACTTTTTTCATGTTATGCAACAAACATGCAACTCTTAAAGAACGAGAATACGATAAGCATATCTTAAGATACTATATGGTGTATATGACCATTGAGTTCTCTGAATCCACTCGAATTTTTTAATTGAACTGCCAGTCAGAACTCTGTTCGAGGCTTATGTTATGACAGAAATTTTAAAATTTTCACTATTTAGGGAAAGAGAAAGTAGTGAATCTCAAAATCATCAATCAAAATTATCGGATCAGATATAGCGAAGAGTCCCTTGAAATTCGTTATAGTGGATATTTCATTTCAAGTGAAACTAATGTGATTTCATTCTCAGGTTTTTCTGCTGCGAGTAAAAGAAACACTATGAAGTACAGTCATATTCAACTGTATTGGATCATCCTTGCTAACACTTTACATACATTCCATTGCTGTTATGCACCACGTAAGTAGCATTATCGTTTGAAAATTTTTTGCTTATAGAAGAAAAGAAAATTGATTTGTCCAGATAATTTCTAATAACATATTACTTATGTATCTGCCCTTTTCTTTACTAATTTTACCTTTTATTATCTGAGGGAGGAATTACATGGTGTATACCATTTCTCACGGGATAGTCTAAAAAATACATGTAAAGACGCATTAATGTTGCTGTATTGTGTATTTTAAAGAAGTCCAATATATTCTTCCTTACACAGTTCACTTTTTCTTCTATCCGTGCATATATTTTGCGTTGTTACTCTAAATTAGAAGTTTCCTAATTCATATGTTAAAAACACTCGAGGGGAAAAAACACGCGAGACGATGTTTTAGGCAAATAAATAAAATATGCGAATGGTATTTAAGCCTAAAAAGCTAACCTTACTATAAAGAAACGTTGAAGCTAATCATTCGTAAAAAATACGGCTACCAACATTTTACTTCCAAGCGTGGTTTAGTTTAAAATTTTCAAAAAAGTGTTTTACATCAAAGATTAAGAGAAAAATATCATCGCCATATGAATATATCAATATATTGTTACGAAATGTAAAGGCGCGGTGAGATGGCTTCCCCGTAAAGCAGTTTTAGGGTTGCCGTAAAATGGCAAGGGAAAGCTGGGTTGCCACATTTGGCAAAAAATCACCCATTTGACAACAAAATTTGCGATATACCATAGACGGTTGGAGAACCTTCTGGAACGAATTCTTACCGGTTTAGCTCAGAATGTTCTCGAACACAAGCCGAAAGCTATATAAACCCTGCTTGTCCGCAGTCAGTTAGTGTGCGTCTCTCATCGAGTGAGTGTGTCTCGTCTAGCGAGTCAATCCCTGCGGAGACGATCGCGTTGACAGCCGGCCAGCGAGTGCCGAGTGGGTCGTCGAGTGCACCGAAAGAGTCTCGTAGAGTATCGCGGTTAGTGCATCGTCGAGAGAGAGAGAGTGTTCAGCTCCGGAAACGACTGAACCGAGAGTCAGGAGTTGTGCTCTGTGTGTCATCGAGTGCATTGCGAGTTGTAGCGTGGGGAGTCTCGAGAGTACGTGGAGTTCCGAAAACGACCAAGCAGAGTCAGGAGCTGTGCTCTGTGTGTCATCGAGTGCATTGCGAGTTGTAGCGTGGAGAGTCTCGAGAGTACGTGGAGTTCCGAAAACGACCAAGCAGAGTCGGGAGCTGTACTCCGGAAAGCAGAGTCGGGTGCTTTGCAGGAAGCTGTCTCCACCGTGATAGCCTGATAACCTGAAGGCTGTGTCTCTGATTGTTTTAGCGTGTTTATAGTAGATTTTCGAGGACTATAAAATGTGTTATTGGAGCTGTCCTGATTAATACTGTGTAAATAAAGTGTGTTTCGATACTTCATTAAGTGTCGTCGTTAATCACTCCAAATCTACGAATCCCGTACGAACGTAAAGGAAGAAAATAACGTAACAACTGCTGTCAGAAAGAGAAAAACGCAACAATGTCATTGCCATTTAGCAGTAGAATATTTAGAGCTTTTATTTCAAGGTTAGTTTCTGAAATAGTAGATGAATTCTGTTTAAGAAACTTTGTACGTTTTTTTTTTTTTTTTTTTTTTTTTTTTTTTTTTTCCATCTTAGAGTTAGTGGCTTTCATAATGATATCAAATATCATATGCGACTAGTAATTATCAATGAAAAATATTCCATTCGAGTATCTACGTTTTTTTGCATTTTGTTCTTTGGAGCCTGTACTACATGCACAATATTTTTACCAGCAGTACATGTAGCTTCGAAATAGTTGACCATATGTGTCAGTTTTGAACAATAAATTCCAGTTTCTTTGACTTATGATGAAAGAACTCTCGCATCAAATATTTTCGTTTATGCTTTCTGTTCTTTCATCGGCTTCACTCTCTTCATTGGAAGGAAATAAAATTTTGAGAAAAACTTCAGGTTTGTCATATAATCATTTATCCTTCTTGCCATAGTGGCAATTAATGTCAGAAGTTACAGCTATAAGCTTATTCGATAAACAAGCAAAATTAAAAACATAATTGAGACGAATTTCAAAATTATCACTCACGTAGAAGCTAATCATTCATAAAATTTACTTCTCGCATTATCCCTTTAAGTGTTAAGCTATTTTGATGATTTTGGTACATAAACTGTCATTTTTTTAATTGCAAAAATCAAATGTTTAGTACAAAGTAAAATATACTTAGTAGTTAAAAACTGATATTTTGAATCACATGCATAAACATTTTAAGGTTTTGTATCCAGTGCATATTCGCTTGAGGCGGCTGCCACTCAGGGTGGCAGTGGTAAAGTTCGCTTCTAGTGTAGCACTATTTTCTAAAAATTTAAAAAAATTACTATTTTCTATAAAAATAAATAAATAAATAGAAATAAATAAAAGCGAATACCTATTAGTAATTCAGTTTTGTGTGGTATAACTGGAAACAATTTTCCAAGCAACACACCAACTCCACAATCAGTACAACAGAATAGTGTTTCCTTTCTTATCTTTTCCCCATTTTCATACTTTTTTGAACAACAAACTTTTCAGTGTCCTGTAGACTCAATAAATACATAATAAATAAAACTAACCAAATAAACTTCTTACGATAAAGTTAATGTCTCACGATAACTACTGACGAGAAATAAACTTATATTACTTACGATATTATATTTGGGTATATAACTTACGATATTGTATTTGGGTATAACAATACGGTGCACTCAAAAAAAAAAAAAAAAAAAAAAAATTACCCCGAGTAATACTCGGGCGTGACATTTTGGAGCACCAGTGCTCGGGCATGACAGCTAGAAGGTTATAGCTGAATAATATAAGCAAACGATCTAAAATAGTACGGATTGCAAGTGTTTCAAGGTCAACTAAGGATACACGAAAGGACGGAACATGTATTGAAAAGGGAGTAGAGAAATTTACGAAACGTGCCAAGTGATGTCTTAAAAATCACGAATGATTAGTTTTCGAGGGTTCTTAAAAATAATTAAATAAATAAAATGTAATAAACTCTGTATTTCAAATACGTGAGCTTCCACTATTTTTTTTTACTTTTATTTATTTCTATTTATTTATTTTTATTTATTTATTCTTATAGAAAATAATTTTTTTTTTAAATTTTTAGAAAATAATGCTGCACTAGAAGCGAACTTTACCACTGCCACCGTGAGTGGCAGCCGCCTCAAGCGAATATGCACTGGATGAAAAACCTTAAAATTTTTATGCATGTAATTCAAAATATCAGTTTTTAACTACTAAGAAATGCCACAGTATTCCTGTTGGGAAAATCGCCTCCAACTATACATGCGAGCTCGTCGCCATCAAAAGTGCTCTGGAGATTTATCTCTCTAAAGAAGACCTCCAGGGGCATCATCATCTCGGACTGCAGATCAGCATTGCAAGCGATCCAGAAGGGCAAATGTCAACTCAGTCATCAGATCATTGAGTTCACAAACAAAATCATTGCTGCCCAAAGATCCTGCATCTTACAATGGATACAGAATCATAATGATTAATATATGTTATTCCACTTATTTTCTAACCGTTGCAAATTTCTTTCTCGAAAATAATGTTGACCATGTCAACTTTTTATAAAATAAATGCGTACAAGTTTTATTGTTTCAGTATGTGACGTCCGTTCCATTTATGTTTATAATTCAATTGGTTTTTCCAGAAAATGTTGAATCCAACGTAGCTTGTGATGCCTTGAGTCCATATCTAGTAAACCGGACTATGTGGAAAAGTAAGGAGCCTTCTGGAATAATAGAATGCTTAACTAGTCCGGTGGACTACATTATTATACATCATACGGCACTTCGCGGCTGTACTACAACTGAGACTTGTATGAAAAGGACAAAAAAACTTCAGAAAATTCATAAAAAGATCAAAAGTAAGTGAATTTAGAATAATAGGAGTTAATAACATTTAGCAATACCACATATTTATGACAAATGTTTTTTTGGTGTTAAATGCCTTTTAGTGAATGAAATATGCATAGGCATGGCTATTTCAAAATAACCAGAATTACAACACAGCAAGAGAGCATTTCGTAATTACGGATCGTATCGCTAGGTGGTGTTGTTAACATACACTTATTTAAGACACAATAACACGCCGAATAAATACTAATTCAGAAGTCAACAACAAAAATCAGCGTTATATTTACAAAATTTTCACAGGACTAGTTTCGATGGTTTTACCGAACCACCATCTTCAGCTTCAAAACCGCAAATGAACAAGATAGGAAATAATGATTAGATAAGATAAGAAAGCCTGGACAAGAATAAGCAAGTGGCGCCATCTGTTGGTGAAACCAGAACTAAAACATAATTTCTTTAAAGGCCGAAAGCAAATTTGGATTGGAATTAGGATCGTTAACTAGAAAGATTCCATCGTTAACTAGAAAAATTCCATAACATCTTCCATTGGAGAACTGGATTTTCTAGAGGCATTTCACATTCATAAAAATCTTTCTGTTATAGTTAACGATCCTAATTCCAATCCAAATTTGCCTTCGGCCTTTAAAGAAATTATGTTTTAGTTCTGGTTTCACCAACAGATGGCGCCACTTGCTTATTCTTGTCCAGGCTTTCTTATCTTATCTAATCATTATTTCCTATCTTGTTCATTTGCGGTTTTGCAGCTGAAGATGGTGGTTCGGTAAAACCATCGAAACTAGTCCTGTGAAAATTTTGTAAATATAACGCTGATTTTTGTTGTTTGACTTCTGAATTACGCTTATTTGTTAAGTGGCACCAGTCTGAGTAAAGAGATTCAACTTTGTTCTTATATGCGTGTTCCTGCTGGCAGCATTCTCTCATTTTTTTAATATGAGACCGCAAAGAAAACTACAGCTTAGACAGATTTTACGCTTTTTTTTTTTTTTTTTTTTTTTTGGAGACCTTTTAAAAATGAAGCTTTGAAAAATGGCAAACGCAGTAGTAGTTTTCCAGATTCAAACAGAGGCATATCAGTTGAAAACTGCTACGACTTAGACTCCACTTGGAAATGAGGGGAAATTAAAAATGAGGGAAGCGTTGATAAAGATAGATAAGTTATTAATTGAGATTTCCGAGAAATTACTGAACAGGTTTCAGAAGAAAATATCTAGCTTATAATTTTTGATGAAGCAGAATACGAAAGTTGTGTCTCACTCACTCCATTCGTTAGATTTTCTTCTTAGTCAGTGCGACATTTTCTGATACCTGCATACAGAAATCTTTTCAGACAAAATAAAGGCAGTTCATTTATGTGGATGAGGTATAAGAACGTATGTTGTTTGTATATTTTTCAGTGCTAAGTGTTCTAGAACTAGTTCCATGTTTTTAGTTGAGGGGAAAATGTATCGATGCCGGTGGAGGACACTTTCAAGGAGGCAGGAATTTATAATGTAAAGTATGTTTTAAGTTGTTAAAGATAGTTCTGGTTATTTTGGGGTATTCTCTCGTCTTAAATATTAAGTTCTTTTAAACCAAAAGATGCCACAAACCTTAAATACTAAACGATAATTCTTATTTCATTAGTAGTAATTAAGAACTATTTACGAACATGACGGAAGTTGTGGAATGATAAGCTCTGAAACTTAATTCCTCAGTTATTAGTTATAGTCAATTCTCGATTGTTTGAGGGATGAATTAATCGAGTTCTGTCTAAAAAAGAATTTAGGCATTAAAAATGAGGGAAAGTCACCACTAGAAGCTATCAAGCGTTGTTTTGGCCTCCTTGGTGATTGCGGTGATTTGTGCCCAGAGGGCGCACCGCACAAAGAGTTAGTTGCGTTACAGAACGTAAGGGAAGCGGACACGCCAAAATGTCGGGCGTATTACCGCTAATTGAGGTAATTGCATCGTATCTGTCAGGTGGCAGAAAACTAGTATGATGTATGAATTCACATGCCAGGTGGCAGAATATGTCTATCATGTACATGCCAGGAGGCATAACGCTAGTAAACATGCCAGGTGGCACACGACTTATAAATAAATTGTAAATAAATGTACAGTAAAATATCTTGGTGCAATAGATCAAGGAACACGCATCAACAACCTTCTGATCATTTGGATACGTACAAGCGTGGAATAAGCTGTTTATGAAAAATACAAAATGGCGAAGACATTATTTTTTCTCAAGAGAGAATGGCCACATTTACGTTACATACCGCGAAAACATCGCGCAGCCATCCATTTAATTGCCAAGAATGAGATACAAGATGCACTACCAGTATTTCCCTACTTTTAGCTATTCCGCCGTTGGTTGGCCCTTGTAACTTAAATTCAAAGGAGTTGAATGCAAGATCGTTAAAGATCAGAGGTTCATTGAAACTTTAAGGGGGACCGACATATGATAGGAAGCATTCTGCATTTCTTCTCCGTTACTTTTTTGAAGTCCAGACCAGTTATTAGACGCGATCTCGTACACTGAAGTGCCACTCAATTAGGGATATCAAGGGCTGTGCAAATTGTGTAGTGCTGCGCATCATTTATACGCAAGTGAGGGCGCTGTGGTAACTGCATATATAGCGCGTACTGTGGTTGTTCTGAATTAGTTGTTGGAATTGCCAGTATGAATAAACTGCCTGATTTAGACGCCTTCGATCGCATCGTGGACAAATCGTAGGTGGGGGACGCATGGGCCATTCAATTTCCGAAATCGTCAGACAGCTAGGAGTTTCAAGGTTGACAGTGTCAAGAGTATTGCAAGAATACATGGATACTGGACAAAACACTAGCGATCGGGCAAACTGCAAAGGACAATTAACCTTGACAGTGCGTGGTGAGAGACGGCTCAGGAATATTGTACGTAGCCAGCGAAGCAAAACATTAGCTCAAATTACCACCCAGTTGAATGACGGCGCCAGTCATACAGTCAGTAAATGGACTGTGTAACTCCCGCTTCACCATATGGGTTTCGGGAGCCGTCGACCTACAAGAGTACCATTGCTCAATGCTCGCCATCGGGCTGCACATCTTGCCTGGGCAATACAGTACAATGACTGGAGTGTAGAGGACTGGAAACGAGTATCACGGAGTGATGAGTCTCGATTCCTACTACTTAACGCCGACGGGAGGCTGAGAATATGGCGTCAGGCTCATGAAGCCATGGATCCTGCATGCCAGGTTGGAACTGTACAAGGGCTTGATGGCTCAATCATGGTCTAGTTGTTTTTTCGTGGCACTGTTTGGGATCTTTGGTGAGTGTACCAACCTCCCTCAATGCAATTCGGTACGTAGAGTTGCTGGGTGATCACCTCCATCCTTTTATTCTGTTGTGTTATCTGCACGGTAATGGAGTTTTCCAGCAAAACAACTGTATCTTTCACAAGTCTCTTTTGGTTACTGGCTGGTTGGATAAGCATTCCTGAAACTTTTCTGTCATAGATTGGCCATCTAGAAGAAGACTTAAATCCTATTGAGGATCTTTGGATGTTTTGGAACAAGGCGTGAAAGGCCATCACACAGCACCAACGAACCTTACTGAATTATGCACAGCTTTGGCCAATGTTTGGCAAGCCATTCCCGTGGAACGTTTCCAGAAATTTGGGGAATCTATGCCTCGTCGTGTGGCACCCGTTATCAAGGCTAGAGGAGACACAACTCGTTACTAAGTAAGTATCCCTAATTCAGTGGAACTTCAGGTGTATTTTGTTACACATGTTAAGCATCATTGCAGTATTTAAATTTCCCACTGAATTCAATAAATTACCCATAGTACCTTTTGTTTCTCACTGTTTATTGGATGTTGTTCGTTTCGATTTTAGAATGGCGAGACATTGGATATCATTTTCTGATTGGAGGAGATGGTCGAGTGTATGAAGGCCGTCCCTGGCAAAGAGTTGGAGCCCATACCAAGTACCACAACCGCAATTCGATCAGCATAGCCTTCATAGGTAATTACGACAAGATCTGCCCAACTGATGAAATGGTATCGCTCGTACCTAAAATAGTCTATTGCGGAGTGGAGAAAGTAAGCATTGTAGTTTAGTGTAATCATTATTATTATTAGCAATTACAAAAGCATTTCAAAATAGATCAATAGGAAGAACGCACAAGCAAAACTAGAGATCAATGTTTAGTTATGTTGCAAAATTGTAAGGGTATTTTCTAAAACTCAGTAGACAAAAATATATTTGATAATCATCAAATTAACGAAGTTATAAATTAATATGTAAGAATTTGTATTTCTTATGATGGAAATATTATCTTCTCAGTTGTTTATAATTATAAAAGTAATAAGTCAGTATATTCGGTTATAGGTTCCTAGTACTTTATTGTGGGTTGTAACTTACCCATCGACAAAAATGGAACAGAGTCATTGAATAAGCACATTCCATAAGCTACATATATGATGTATCTTTTTTCATTTTATTTGATTACTTTTTCATCATTTATCTCTTACATGTTTATGTTTAAAGGGTTATGTCAAGAGAAATTTTCAAGTGATAGGTCATCGAGATGCTTACTGTACCTCGTGCCCAGGTGATTCACTTTACGAACTCATCAAACAATGGCCACCATTCCCGTCAGAAGTTCCTATTCCTTCCTACACATGTGATGCTAAAACCAACACAACAGAAGCTCCTGATCCAGAGAGTACTGATGTAACGGAAGAACCGGATACTGAAGAAACGGAAGAACCAACTCTAGTTTCCGATGTTCAAGACGAAGTAACAACTCCGAAGCCACATAGTGTCTACTATTACATTCTGGTTCCACGGCAAAAAATCTCATGTTGTTATAGCTGAAAGTGAAAGGAATGTATAATGTGTTTCAGGCTATGTCCTGTTAATTGATCATTGAATAACGGCAAAATAAAATTTTCTAATTTTAATATTTATATTAATTCATTCAAGTATTACTTTTATACCACGAATTTCTAACAAAATATTCTTACGCTGAAAGCTGAAAATAGAGACTCATTGTTAAGAAAAGCTTGGATCGTAACATTGTAGTTTATTTAGTTTATTTGATTAAGAAAAAGCATGCGAAGTGCTATCTGCCTGAAGGCAGGGCTCAGGCAAACTGGTTAGTACGAGGGCAATCCCAAAAAAAAGGTCTCCTATTTTTTGGGGACGTAGAGAAAGTTTTAATACGGTTGTTGGCAACACTGTTGTGAGTGGTGCCTTCTCCGCTACCACATAAGCACGCAGGCGCTTCGCTCGGATGCTCAGTCTTGGCTTGGCAGCCATTCGAAATGGAGCTCCCGATAAACGTTACCGCCAAGTGCGAAGTGCGCGCAGTTATTCGATTTTTGAACGCAAAAGGCGTTAAACCAGTTGAAATTCACCGCCTATTGGCGGAAGTGTATGGACAGTCGTGCATTGATGTCAAAAACGTTCGCAAGTGGTGTAGAGAGTTTACAGCCGGTCGTACTGAAATTCATGACGAAGAAAGGAGCGGGAGGCCGTCAATTGCCGACGAGACAATCGCGAAAGTTGAGGAACTCATGCGTAAAGATCGGAGGATCACTCTGGATGCTCTCTGCATTTTGGTTCCTGAGGTTTCCAGAAGCACCATCCACAGGATTTTAACGGAAAAGTTGCAATATTGGAAGGTGTGTGCAAGATGGGTGCCGCGTATGCTGACAGAAGACCACAAACGGCAACGGGCACCCAGCGATTTCCACCTGTTCCCCAAGTTGAAGGAACATTTGTCTGGACGACGGTCACCGATGATGAGGTGAAAGATGAGGTTCAACGCTTCCTGAAGGGCATAGCGGCAAGCTGGTATGACATGGACATTGTAAAACTACCACAGCGTCTACAAAAATGCATCGACTGAAATGGCGATTATGTTGAAAAATAAAGCATTCTTCAATCTTTAAAGTGATGTAGCAATTATAGAAAATAAACGGTTCTTTGTATATCTAAAAATATAGGAGACCTTTTTTTTGGGATTGCCCTCGTATATATGTTGGACATGTGGAAAAATAATGAAAACGACCATGCAGCCAGCTTCCGTCAAGATTGGGACTTGGATCAAAATATCCTTGTATAGCGGTCTTGTCTTCGCTACTAGTAGTAGATTAGAACTTAATAAATCTGAAATGTACGGATTAACCACCTGCCTTTAAAATATTAGCATATTACATACCTAATAATACCAACCAATATCTATCATAGCAAGTTATCATCAAAGTTGCTTAATAGATTTTCGGTTGTAGCTACTTGATAATCTCTAAAGAATGAAGAGAATATATCTACTCGATTGTTAGTATCCAAGCTGATACCAACAACAATCTAGGAAATATAATCTGCGTAGTTCTTTGAAGGCATTTTTTACGTTTCATACAAATCTATCATGTACTGAGTTTGAGATTTGTTGAACCTATTTTATTATCAAAAGCCAAATCATGAACGTTAAAGCTAGATCATGAATGCCAAAATCGATTAAGTCGATTCCGACGGAACAAAAAGCCCACTTTTCTTCTATCACGTTAAAGAAATAATAATACCAGTTTCATATATTTCCCTCCCTTGTTTCAAAACTTCTTAAGTATCCTTTTGTGTGTAGAGAAATATTAATGAACCTAATATCGTAAGGTTTACTTTAACTAACACGTTATTTCGTATGCTCATTTTTCTCTACACTTCTGTAGCATACCGTCTACTCCATTAAAATATATTAATGAAGTGAGTTTTAAATAGGGCGCGCAATAGGATCTCTGAACACCGATAGCTAGGTCCGGCTTCAAATTCTGACGAAGGGGCTAGCTGCATGGAAATTTTTGTGGCTTTTCTCATGTGTAAAGTGAATCCAAGCTAGTTTTCCTTGAAACGTTCACCACGAAGGTATTTCTCTTGGTAGATTACCATACTTTCTCTTTGCAATAATCCAGTCAAATCTTAATCTAGAGTATCAAACAAAAGTGATAATATACGTAAGTTTAACAGAAAGGTTTGGTTTGGTTTGGTGTTATTAGATTACGGCAAAGCACTCGAGGGCTATCTGCCTTAAGGGAGGAATGCCTTCGTGGAGGACTTTAGCGACGTTACCGCTCGGCCGCTGGTGGGCTTTAACAGAAAGGATTATCAGATTACTATCTATCGCAGTTCACCATGGTAAAACGCCTTTGTTAATTGTCTGTCTTTACAGCTATTACTACTAGCTTATTAGTTTGTCTAGGCTTTCAATTAAGTAACGAAATACTAGAGCCAGTTTGCTAGACTTTAAATTTAATCTTCAATTTGTAAATACTTTGAATCATTGTTATCTCTCTGTGTTGTAAGAAGCAGAAGTTAATTTTATTAATTGTTTCAGGTTTATAAATTCAACCTGAAAAGATTTATTTCAGATCCTTTAGATGTCTTATGTTGTTGAATAACTGGTCGTTAACTGACTGGTTAAGGTTGTTAAGGTGTTAAGGATGCTTCGATTAAAACTCTGTATCTTTCCATTTGACTGCGTATGGAAAGGTGTCATTTGGATTTTGTCTATGTCGTGTAGTTTACAGAGTTTTGAATCACAGTTGAAATAAAAATTCCTTCTTTGATCGGAATGTCACTGAAGAAGCACACCAGACCTGGAAATCCAATCCTCCATCATTACCTCTCCTACCGTGCCAACATCTTGGTCAAGAATAGGATACGCATCAGACTGTTGTGTAAAGTAATCAGTGACAAATTATATATTTGATATTATTAACAGGTAGTGGCGGATGTCGCAGGATGTCAAAGGCTGTGCATTCAATTGTCGCTCCTATATATCGCGTTGTTATTTCTGTCGGCTGTAAGTAAAAGTACGCGGGTGGTGGGACTCTCGCGAAACCCCGCCTAAATATTTTAAAGTCATTAAATTCATTGTAAGTACTTTTTATACAATTTTTCATAAGGTAGTACGTACTGAGTATGAAATAAAAATTTTATTAAACATTGAGCATGTTTTTTAATTCGGTGGCGGCAATCTTAAGAAAGTACGCGGGCAGCCAATGGCCTAAGAATGGCCCTGCCTTTCTGACCTGTAGAGGCATCGCAAGATTGGCACCACTTTTGCACTTCTCCAGTTGCATTTCTCCAGTGAAAGTGCTCTCAAAATCTATGCAATTCCGAAGTGGCCTATAGTCAGATTGCTTTATAGATCTTTAAAGACGTGCCGTATCCGGGGTCTTGAAAGTATCAGCTGATATCGGGATACCTTTACATCATCTGATTCGAACTTCCAGTACAAAAAGCCCTTTCGAATTTGATTGGAATCCCAGAGAGCCCAAATTTGTTTTGCAGTAGGACTATAGGACAAATGTGCTGCCAGAAAGGTTTAAATATTTGAAAACTTTAATTAAGTCAATTATGGGTTTAAGATCTTCCGACTAATCTTTCCTTCTTCTTCACTCCAGGGGTCTAGGTCAGACGATTTAAAAATTGTAACTTGACGTGTGATCGGATTAACCAACTTGTATTTCGCTTCGAGCCTGGAATAATATCGGTAGCTTTCTATGCGGGGTTTTCTGCGCAGGACGTCAGCGTTTCCGTGTAACTTCCAATGACGGAAAGGAATGTTATATTCCTAGTGCTTATGTATCCATCTGACTGTTTAGCCTTCAAGAATCTAGAAATTTAAGAGCCAGTTTAAAGATGTATGATCTGTCAAACGTAGGAATTTTCTGTTCCAGAAGTAATGGTGGAAAAGTTCTACTTTTAACTATGGAGAACGCTTCTTTCGTTGTGAGAAAGTAATTCCTTTCGCTTTAAATAGACACTCGCTGCAGTATGCTATGGCACTTTATTGTCCATTTATTTCCTTGGAAGAAAATACCAGCAACACTCTCATTGCTCGCATCCTTGTCAAGAATAAATGGAATTGTAGCCTTTAAAGTCTCCTTCAATTGGTTACTGAAGGTCAGTTGCATTCTCACATTCCTTTTGTCCACATGAATGTTTGCTCGATGTCTGTCAGGCTGTGAAGGTGTCTTGCGACAGAAGTGAAGTCCTTCACAAATCTTCTATAGTAGGTGAAAGCGCATACGGAATTTCTCAGCTGATGAACATTTTCCGGACGTCTACAGTCTTTAAGCCTCATTACATTATAAAAGACAGTTACATTATAGAAAAGACTATAATTTCCCTAAATTTCTTTACATATCTACAAAATTCATAACAATAGCTGAGTAATTATGTGTTGGAAACCAGAAGTTTTATGATTTATTTTTCTCTTTTCTGAAATTCTACGCTGATACGTTCACCAACATTTCGATCCAGAAGGACACTGCCCTTGCACTGGCTTTGAAGAAGAAGAGCTACAATAGAACAATGTAGCTATTACTGCCTGTTGCATCTCAGCTAAGTTTCCAGCATTACTTCTAATTGAAAAGCCATAATAATTCTGCAGTTTATCAATAAAAGAATCAGTCAGTTTACATTTCCTATTCAGTCCAGGAGTAGAATATGTTACTTTCCGCAGCCTGCTACTAGCCCTTTTCAGTACACCTCTAGAGACATTAGGATTTTTTGAAGCAGAAGTCATGAAAAATGAGCAACGCCTTCGCCGAGAATCAAACCACGGAATACGCTCCCAGTGTGCTGACCACTACACCAAGAAGGCGGGAGAAATACCTTATACATCTCCAATTCATTCTAATTTCTTCACAGGATCTTGGTCAAAAACTCACGAGAATCTCCATCTCCGTGATATTCCGTATACTTCAGCTTCCGTAATTTAATAGATCGTTCAAAAATGCAATATGCACCAACTGCTTCCATACCTGAAGCTGATCTTTTATACTTTTCAGAACAGTTATGCTCCGCTTTACGCAAGTCGTGCCGAAATTTGCATCCCGCTTTGTTAATTTTGTTGTAAGTGGTACAAACTGTGACATGATTCCTAGTCAAATATTTT